GGGCCATCATGAGTTTGGGCCGTTCAATAGACGGGTTGGGCCATCATGAGTTTGGGCCGTCCAATAGACGGGTTGGGCCATCATGAGTTTGGGCCGTTCAATAGACGGGTTGGGCCATCATGAGTTTGGGCCGTCCAATAGACGGGTTGGGCCATCATGAGTTTGAGCCGTCCAATAGACGGGTTGGGCCATCATGAGTTTGGGCCGTCCAATAGACGGGTTGGGCCATCATGAGTTTGGGCCGTCCAATAGACGGGTTGGGCCGTTCGGCCCATTTGTTCGGTTGTAAAATATGTTGCTGAATTCGGGTAGGAAATAAAATAAAAATAAAATAAAGGGACGAAGAAATGAATGGAATAATTGAAAGAAAAAGGGGTAATATAAATAATGAAAGGGAGAAGTAAAGAGAAGGGAGAGGGAGTAGTCCCAGAATGAATTGGGACAGCGGGTGAGGGACGGGTCAAGCAATTTTGATAAATCCAACCCTCTTTAGGGTCGGGAATTGATAGGGGCGCCTCTATTCCCGTAACCAAACAAATAAATCCAACTCCTCCTCGCAGGCGCCCCGTTACCGCTTTACTTCTTCTGCTTCTCTCTTCCTCTCTCTTTTTTACATTTATTTTTTTCTCCGGGGCCGATCGGCTCATCCTCAGTATCGTTCTTCCAACTGAAATGTAGCCACTTCGATCTTTAGGGCTTCGAATTGTTTCTTGCGTTTCGGTTGATTCGGGAGATTTAGGGTTTTCTTGCTGGGTTCTTTGAGGTGGGGTGGAGGGATGAAGGATTTGAATTCGGATATCTTGGACCCGACGCCCGGGATGGATTCAGATTATTCGCGTGCTTCTTGTGCTTCATCATCCGACGCGGATTTTGGATTCGCTTTTAACGACAGTAATTTCTCCGATCGGTTGCTTCGGATTGAGATTATGGGAGAACCGGCTGAGTCCCGTCCCGATTCTGCGGGATGTACTAGCATCCTCGATTGGGCTCGACGGAAGAGACGGAGAGAGGATTGCAAGAAGGAAAACGGTAAATTTTGGTTCTAATTTTCCTCTTATTCTTCCTTTTTTGATTTCCTCCCCGGGAATTTGCTTCTGTTTGATCGTTGGCGTTGACGAAACAGAAAACTTGGAACCATTGAAATTTTTTATTTATTATTTGGGAAACGGAGATATAAATCTCTATTAGGCGAGATAGTTACAGGGAGTGGAGTAATATGTGTGATGATTGCAAAAGAAAAAACATGATGGGAAGCCTCAGTTTACAAGGTGAAATAGGAAATGGGAACATAGTGGTTTTGTTGTTTTATTAAAACTATGAGAACTCAGCTACGCTGAATTTTACAATTTTACGGGTATGTATAATAGAGAACGGCTGCCACTGCAACGAATGATACACATCCGCAAGGGATGTTATTTTGTCGAAGAGGAATCCTTTTCTGAATTTCTTGTTATTATAACTTCTTTGTTCGATGATTGTCTGATACTGAAAACGAAACTATTGTTTTACTTCATAGGAATCGATCTGGTTGACCCTTCTGTTGTTTTGATAGAACTGATCGGTTGACCAAGCTAGTTTCTTTATTTAGCATGTTTTTCCTCTGTGTCTATTAGTTTTACATTACTTTGTCAATGATTGCACGTGGATATTGTTATATATGGCCTTTTGTGCGTATTCACTGTGCATTTTGTTCCTCTTTTTATTCAAACTTCGTTTCCTTATGATCAACTTTCATTGCAGTTGTTGATCTAAATGGATGCCCCGAGGAGCAAGTTTTAAATGGAAGCCAACCTGATATGGATGATGCCATACCTTGTGACAATCTAGATGATGAACCTGCACAAATGATTGAGGAGTTACATTCAGGTAATAGACAATACAGACAAGGAAGCCAACTTATTGGCATTATTTTGGTTGCCTAACTCCAAATGAGTTTTCTTGCATCTTTTCTTCTGTGGTTCAAATCCTGGTTTTTTTTTTTTTTTTTTTTGTATCTAAACAAAATTGTCACTATCATTGAAATGGAGTTGACTTCCTATTTGAAATTGTTGAATTACTAGAATAAGATGTCTTAAAAAAAGTTTTCATGTACTGCAGGTGATGAAGCTGCAAATGTTGATGAGTCAAGCTGGGGGATGGATTGTTCAACTGTTATTAAAGTTAAAACGTTGCACATCAGCTCTCCAATTTTGGCTGCCAAGAGTCCTTTTTTCTACAAGGTAAAAGCAAATCTGTACTTGTAAGATAAAAAAAATATATAGATTCTTCTGCTGTTTATATTTTTGTGGGAACTGTCTTCCATAAGTCCTTTCTTATCTAAGAAATACTTTCCTGTTTAGCTGTTCTCTAATGGGATGAGGGAGTCTGAACAACGGAATGTGACCTTACGAATCAATGCCTCAGGTACAAGTACAAACTTTCATCATCTCTTGTCTGTATATCTTGTTCTTTGTTACTGACCACACTGCTTGTAATATGTTTTTATCCCTTCTATCAAACAGAGGAAGCAGCCCTAATGGAGTTGCTGAATTTTATGTATAGTAATACCCTATCCTGTAGCACTGCTTCAGCTTTGCTCGATGTGCTTATGGCTGCAGACAAATTTGAGGTTGCTTCATGCATGAGGTATTGCAGCAGACTTTTACGAAACCTGCCCATGACACCTGATTCTGCATTGTTGTACCTTGAGCTTCCATCCAGTGTCTTAATGGCTGAAGCAGTCCAACCATTGACTGATGCAGCAAAGCAGTATCTTGCTCTTCGCTACAAGGACATTACCAAGTAAATTTCTGATTCTCTCGAGTTATGCCATAATCTTCTCATTTTCCATTATTTTTCATTTCATTTCCAATTTTTAACCTCTGTTTGTGGTGGGGAAGGGGAGTTTAGGTGGAATGTCAATTTGAAGGATTCTACTTAAGACCATTATTCCCTTTGGAAGGAAACATATGTTTCTCAATATAATTGTAACCGTGGAAAAATGTTCACTGGGTCCTAAATTTTGGTAGTATGTGGTTGTGCTAGATGTTGGACCTTCAGTCTCAACTTTGGTTTTGAAAAGTTTGATGAATGGTGTTGAATATTCCAATTATTTCTACTTTATCTGTGCGGTTGGATGTTTGATGTCCATTTTGTGGTTAGTGGCGTGTTTTCTTCAATTAATGCTTTGTCCTCATTTTTGGATCCTTTATATTTTGTTCTCACCTCACTAAGAAGTTCATCTTAATTTGCAAGAAAATTGCCCGAAATTCGTTTAATTTTGCATTGCAAGTCATTCGACTCTCTCCACTTGGTGAGAAATATTGCCCGAAAGATTTAGTTAGGTTAAGAATTTGGTGAGAAATATAATTTGATTGCTTCTTTGAGAACCATCAAGTTAGAGATTAAGATAAGTGACAACTTTTAGACTATGTTTGTGATGGTGGATTTGGAGTCTAATTGTTTCTTCATCTATCATTTATGCTTTAAAAATTTTTCTTTTCCCCCTTGCGTCTGTCATCTTTGGGTTTTACTGGAAGGGAAAGCTATTTCTCAACTAGGCTTCTCGCATTTGACCAGGTTCCAGGAGGAGGTTATGGATTTGCCCCTTGCAGGAGTGGAGGCAATATTATCAAGTGACGATCTTCAGGTTGCATCAGAGGATGCAGTATACGACTTCATCCTGAAATGGGCTAGAACTCAGTATCCAAAGTTGGAGGAGAGGCGAGAGGTGTTGGGGGCTCGACTTGCTCGTTATATTCGATTCCCCTTTATGACTTGTCGAAAGCTTAAGAAAGTTCTGACCTGCAATGACTTCGATCATGATGTTGCTTGCAAACTCGTGCTTGAGGCCCTTTTCTTTAAGGCAGAGGCTCCTCACCGGCAGAGAATCTTAGCTGCTGACGAGTCGGCTTCCACAAACCGCCGCTTCTTCATCGAGAGAGCATACAAATATCGTCCAGTGAAGGTTGTTGAGTTTGATCGTCCTCGGCAGCAGTGTGTTGTATACCTGGACCTAAAGCGGGAAGAGTGCACAAATTTGTTTCCGTCGGGGAGAGTGTATTCTCAGGCATTCCACTTGGGTGGACAAGGGTTTTTCCTTTCGGCTCATTGCAACATGGATCAGCAGAGCTCATTTCATTGTTTTGGGCTTTTCTTGGGAATGCAGGAAAAAGGGTCGGTTTCTTTTGCAGTTGACTATGAATTTGCTGCAAGATCAAAGCCAACAGAAGAGTTTGTAAGCAAATATAAGGGCAATTACACGTTCACAGGAGGCAAGGCAGTTGGCTATAGAAACTTATTTGCAATACCATGGACGTCTTTCATGGCCGAAGATAGTCTCTACTTTATTAATGGAGTCCTCCATCTTAGAGCTGAACTTACCATCAGGCCCTGACCGGCCACACCCTGTTCTGTCTCTATCTCTGAAGCATCGAATGGTATTCTATTCTCAATTTCTCTATGGTATAGGTTGTCTAACATCTAATCTTGGTATGTCTTTTCTTCTCCTCTCCCCATTTGTCCTTACCTCTACTCGACGATGTAATAGTAAAGCCATTTTATTACTAAATACCCCGTGATCTCAAGTATGCTATATACCAAAATCTCTCTGGATATTGCTTTACTTTCCTTCTCCATACATCTCAACATCTCAACATTTGTAACCTGGACTTCTGGTATTCTTGGATCTTTGAAATGAATTTCGTAGCCTTAGAAACCTGACCCTTCTGTTTCTATTGTTATTACTACTACGACAATGGCATGAGCTGTTTTCTAGAACAGTGGTTAAGTTTGACATGCCTGATTTCATCCACTGTTCAAAAATGTTAAATATGAACATTATATTTTTGGAAAGTACTTTGAAAAACGAGGAAGTTTTGAAAATATTGTAGGACTGTTATCAATGGATCATTCTACCAGAAGTTGGTTCACTGCACGAAGAAACAAATCATTCATTTGGCTATTGAAATTATGTCTTCATCATGTGTTGAAGACATGTTAGTTTTCCTCCCTTTTACCTATACAGTAAACGAAGAAATAGGTAATATTACCATTTTAAAGTTATTTTCCAAACAATTTGTCCGACAATAGTCAACAGCTACTACTATTCCAAATTGTGATATTTTTAAAACTTATTTCTACGTAAAGCCTACGAAATCGGTCCAGAAACATAAAACCAAAACCCCCCAAAAATTAATAACAATAAAGGAAGCATCTTTCTTCAAGAATTTGGATCAAAGAGCCTTGGAGTTGCAGGAGTCAAAAACTCAGGAGATTTTATTGTACCAGGCATCCAATGCTTCGTGGCTTTCTGGAAATGCAACCACAAACTTGGTTTTCATCTACTGCTCCAATTGTAATCTAATACAATCAATGAAAAACAAGATTAATACCAATGCGATAAGCAACCATAAATTTCATCGGTTATCAACCTCGAACAACCAAATATTATTATCACATCTCAAGATTCCCAGAGCGAAATAGTAGACGACAGAAGAAAATTGAAACAGATAAACATAAGGCCATGAGGAAAACCAGAAAGGCAGAGATTTTATCAAATAGTATAAACATAACCCATGGAAAATCATCAAAGCTAGAAAATATTAAGCAACCAGAACACATACACCAATTCTTTGGTATAAATCTAAACCCTAAACCCTAAACATACACCAATTCTGATAGACAATTGCAACACTTCATGTTCAAATTTGCTTACGTATGAACAATAAGGTAAAATGTCAGCATATTCACTTAGTTTGACTTTTGGTCATCCTGGGAATATTCTCTCCATGTAGTGATAGCCAAAGGCACTATAAAAGTTCAAATTGTATGTTTCCTTTAGGTATGAGACCTATGCAGAGTGCCTGATTCTCGGGTGGACTTCTGATACTGACCAAGACAAACCAACATAAATTAAACGAGTAATTATGAGGAAGAAAATGAAGATTCTCTAGGACAGCCAGAACCTGCTCTAGCTTAATGAGATAATGGGACCTTGGTAATTGTTTTAACTTTGAAGCAAATGGTGGGAGGCGAAGGAAAGGACCTAACTTGAATTATACTCCTATATTATTTTAATTTTAAAAGGCATTATATGGGTTCCCAGAAAATAAACTGCAGTGGAATTCATAAAAAATGTCCTTGAGTTCAACAACAAATCACTTTCCGCTTTCAGCTATTCCATACCAAGATATTGGGAAAATAGGATTGGATTCATCTGTAAGACAAATTGGTTCTCCTTAGCCAGGTACTTCATAAAACATGTTTCTGAGTTCTCAACAATGAGCCCCTTCTAGCTTCAGTTATTCCAAACCAAGATCGTGGAAAACAAGGTCAGATTTATCTAGAAGACAAATTGGTTCCTTGGCCAGGTACTTCATATAACAGGTTCTTGAGTTCTGAACAATGATCCCCTTTCCGCTTCAGTTATTCCAGGCCAAGATCGTGGGAAAACAGGGTTGGATTTATCTACCAGATAAATTGGTTCCTTGTCCAGGAAATGACAAAAATCCTCCTCATAATGAAAAAATTGCAGGTGAGATTTCCCAAGAAGATGAGTGTGAGGAGCAGCGACTCCTCAGTTGAGGAGGCAGAAGCTCCACTCATATAAAATGCTGGAATTGTTTCCTAAACAAGTAAAGGCTTCATAAATCAATTCTATGAGAGAAGTCAGGCCTAAAAATATCTATCAGACTAAGCATGGAATTTGAGACAAGAAAACCGCCAAAATGCATACTGCGTTAAGATAAGTATTTAACTGATAACTCCACCATTCAGATTTTGATTCAATAGGAATAACAAAGAGGCCAATCTACTGGAGAAGTTTAGGAAATTAGAAGACAAGCAAAAGAAATCCCTGACCTCTCTGATCATCTAAGCTTCTCTTTCCCGCTACTCCTCTTCGCTGCTTCATTGATCTTTTCAATATAGCCTTCTATTGGAGGCGTCAATGTCGCCATGAATCGGTTCGCTGGGAACGGAGTCAAATCTGGGACCAATGCGGCAGCTTTCAAATGCTCTGGCAATGCTTCAATAGCATCTTTCTTCATCTGCAACAGCGTCGATTCAGCTGCCTGCCTTGCACGGTGCCGCCTCATCAACACCCGACTGTATTCCTTTGCAAGCCGCCGCCCATCTTCCACAGTCAATTCGTACTTCGGGATCTTATCTGCATCGACCACACCTAGCGTTATCAGATCCAATCCCATAGTTCCAATGATCGATGGAGAATCAGAGACGCCCAATTTCGATTTATCCATCTTCATCATCTCAATCTCGCGTTGGCGCTCTTTGCTGATGAGCCCCAGCTTCTCCCGCTCGGCCTCGCGTTCTCTGTCTTTGGGCTTCAGGAACCGCAAAGGCGTAGGAGCATTTAGACATTGGTCATAGAGCTTTTCCTGTTCGAGAGAGATTTTTCTTCCTCCTCCTCCTCCTCCACCCTTGGAAGAGGCGGCTCCGCCTTTCTTGATGGTGATTTTGGAGCGCTTCAGCTGTTGCCCAGCTTTGATTTTTGATTTTCCTTTGGCAGTACCACTCACCCAGCACCTTTGAAGCAAATGGTAGCTGCCGGAATCTGCAGATGGCACCAGAGATTTCAACTTCGCGAAACGGATCATCTCTCAAAGCTCCAAGCTTTAACCCTTTCTAAAATCTAAAAACTCAGTCTAGGGTTTTTCATGAAACACAGTAACGCACTTGAAGAATGATGAAGCACGGCCCGCGAAAAATCAAGGCCCCTTCCGACTTTGGGTAGCTTTTTTCTTTTTCTCTTTTATCTAATAATAAAATATCATTTAAAACTTAGATATTTATAAAAAAATTGTATATCCACAAAATACAATATTTAAAGCTTAGGTTTAATTATTTATAAAATTTTAATTTATATTCGATATATAAATTAACTAATTAGCATTTTTAAAATTTTCAAAAACTAATCCCACCTCTAGTCGATATTGTATGTTTTAGCCTACCGGAGAGGTTTTCACAACTCTTATAAGAAATACTTATCCCCTCTCCAACCAATGTGGGATCTTACCATCCACCCCTTGGGGACTCGACGTCCTTATTTCACACTGGCTGATGTCTAACTTTGATACCATTCGTAATGAGCTAAAACAAACAATATTTACTGCATGATGGAAACTATAAAATTGTTAAAATTGTTGGGACGGTAATATCCATTTAACCAAAACTGAGGGCAATGAACCAACCAATGAATTTCACCATTTTTGTTGTGAAGCAGGAAGGAAGTAAATTTGAGAAAGGGGGGTTTCCACTTTCCATGCAATGAACTTAACAGATCTTATTACACATACAATGAAAGGGAACATGAGTTACAGGGATCAAAGCAAAAACTATTCCACATTACATGATTTAGATTTAGATTGCCTCTTCTAAACGAAAGAGAATCAAGTACAAAATGATAACAAGAGGAACAAACCATGTCGATCATGGCGCCCGACCACGCGCTACTTATTCTGTTCCAGCGATCTTCTTCTTCAATACTTCAATATCATCAGCTAGTTCCTTTCTGCTTGACTGAGGAAGGTAGGAAAATACCATACAAAAACACTTTTTCAGCTGATATCTAGTTGCAGTGCCAATCACAAACTAGAATTTCTATGGTCTTTTAGGACTCGAGATACAATTATGTTTCGGAACAGATTATTCTAGCCCGACCATCTCATTAGAAACATGTAACTAGAGTTTCAAGTTTTTAATCTCAAACAAAACTCAGAAACTATGCTGAAATTTCATGGAGGGTAAATGTAACCGCTCAAGACCACTACTAGTAGATATTGTCCATTTTAAAATGCATCTGTTAGGGAGAGGTTTTCACACCCTTATAAGAAACGATTCGTTACCCTATCCAACCGATGTGGGATCTAACAGTAAAACTTGAGAAAACAACGAGCATTCATTCAAGTCATGACAAATTGCAAACCTTTTTGAAACAAATCATAGTTCTCTTCTAAACTTACCTTGAAGAGTAGATATCGGTACACGAACCACCCCGTATATCCGAGTCCTACCAACTCCAGGATCTTCGGAAGCTGACGAGAACATGGACAGAGAGTAAGTGTCAAATGGCTTTACAAGGGGAAGAAACAAATTGGAAAGCAATATTTTGTAGATGATATAACAAGAGAGAGCATCAAGTAGCAACGGTGATGCCTGTCAGTGAATATTGAAGCAAAAGTTTGATGGAAGGAATCATGTTACCAATGGAACTGAGTTGATTGCACCAACAAGAATTGAAGAAAGCCAAACAGCAACGATCGCCCCGCCTCCGTAGAGGAGTACCGTCGATTTGTTCTCAAGGGCATCCCACTAGTAAACATTAGGATGAAATTATATCTTAGAGTCATCCACAGAGTCAGTATAACTAACAGAAACAACATAAAATGAATGATGAAATATAACAGAACATTCTCAGAATTATGACAATGACGGGTGTTGCTATGTTTCATGTGGGTTCTACCTTTTCTTTCAAGTCTGTAAAGAGCTCAGATGCATCAGCAGCAGATGATTCTTCTGAAGATGAGGCTCGGGTTTGAAGCAAAGACGATCTACGAGACTCTGTCACCAAATGGTAGGTTGGGAAAATCCAATAAAGTTCATCTAATTCACATTTTTCAGGAATAGCAATGAACAATGTAAAAGAATTTTCATTACACAAAAAGTGAACAGTGCTCTTAAACTAAGCCACACAAATCTAAGATATTGATGCATAAAGCTATGCATTTGCACATCAAAGATCTTATTCTAAATTCAAACATGGAAAGGTTTCTCTTGAAAGTAAGCATATTTATAGATGTATGATGCGTAAAATTGGTTTGAAAACTTTGCATATCTGACTTCTCGATGCTAATCACAGCACATTAATCCCCTTCTCCCCCATGGTCAAATACCTAGATGTACAATGCATTCTTTATTGAGGATTGTTAGGAGAGGAGTTTCACACCGGCTAATTAAGGGGTTGATCATAGGTTTATAAGTAAGGAATACATCTCCAGTAGTATGAACTTTTGGGGAAACCAAAAGCAAAACCATGAGAGCTTATGCTCAAAGTGGACAACATCATACTATTGTGGAGGTCTGTGACTTCTACCATGGTATTAGAGCCATACCTTTAACTTACTCATGTCAATAGAGTCCTCAAATGTCGAACAAAGAAGTTGCGAGCCTCAAAAGGGTAGTCAAAAGTAACTCAAGTGTAAAACAAATGAGTTATGCTCAAAAGCAAAACCATGAGAGCTTATGCTCAAAGTGGACAACATCATACTATTGTGGAGGTCTGTGACTTCTACCATGGTATTAGAGCCATACCTTTAACTTACTCATGTCAATAGAGTCCTCAAATGTCGAACAAAGAAGTTGCGAGCCTCAAAAGGGTAGTCAAAAGTAACTCAAGTGTAAAACAAATGAGTTATGCTCAAAAGCAAAACCAAAAGCAAAACCATGAGAGCTTATGCTCAAAGTGGACAACATCATACTATTGTGGAGGTCTGTGACTTCTACCATGGTATTAGAGCCATACCTTTAACTTACTCATGTCAATAGAGTCCTCAAATGTCGAACAAAGAAGTTGCGAGCCTCAAAAGGGTAGTCAAAAGTAACTCAAGTGTAAAACAAATGAGTTATGCTCAAAAGCAAAACCAAAAGCAAAACCATGAGAGCTTATGCTCAAAGTGGACAACATCATACTATTGTGGAGGTCTGTGACTTCTACCATGGTATTAGAGCCATACCTTTAACTTACTCATGTCAATAGAGTCCTCAAATGTCGAACAAAGAAGTTGCGAGCCTCAAAAGGGTAGTCAAAAGTAACTCAAGTGTAAAACAAATGAGTTATGCTCAAAAGCAAAACCAAAAGCAAAACCATGAGAGCTTATGCTCAAAGTGGACAACATCATACTATTGTGGAGGTCTGTGACTTCTACCATGGTATTAGAGCCATACCTTTAACTTACTCATGTCAATAGAGTCCTCAAATGTCGAACAAAGAAGTTGCGAGCCTCAAAAGGGTAGTCAAAAGTAACTCAAGTGTAAAACAAATGAGTTATGCTCAAAAGCAAAACCAAAAGCAAAACCATGAGAGCTTATGCTCAAAGTGGACAACATCATACTATTGTGGAGGTCTGTGACTTCTACCATGGTATTAGAGCCATACCTTTAACTTACTCATGTCAATAGAGTCCTCAAATGTCGAACAAAGAAGTTGCGAGCCTCAAAAGGGTAGTCAAAAGTAACTCAAGTGTAAAACAAATGAGTTATGCTCAAAAGCAAAACCAAAAGCAAAACCATGAGAGCTTATGCTCAAAGTGGACAACATCATACTATTGTGGAGGTCTGTGACTTCTACCATGGTATTAGAGCCATACCTTTAACTTACTCATGTCAATAGAGTCCTCAAATGTCGAACAAAGAAGTTGCGAGCCTCAAAAGGGTAGTCAAAAGTAACTCAAGTGTAAAACAAATGAGTTATGCTCAAAAGCAAAACCAAAAGCAAAACCATGAGAGCTTATGCTCAAAGTGGACAACATCATACTATTGTGGAGGTCTGTGACTTCTACCATGGTATTAGAGCCATACCTTTAACTTACTCATGTCAATAGAGTCCTCAAATGTCGAACAAAGAAGTTGCGAGCCTCAAAAGGGTAGTCAAAAGTAACTCAAGTGTAAAACAAATGTGTTATGCTCAAAAGCAAAACCAAAAGCAAAACCATGAGAGCTTATGCTCAAAGTGGACAACATCATACTATTGTGGAGGTCTGTGACTTCTACCATGGTATTAGAGCCATACCTTTAACTTACTCATGTCAATAGAGTCCTCAAATGTCGAACAAAGAAGTTGCGAGCCTCAAAAGGGTAGTCAAAAGTAACTCAAGTGTAAAACAAATGATGTACTTTGTTTGAGGGCTCTAGAGAAGTAGTCGAGCCTCGATTAAGGGGAGGCTGTTTGAGGGCTCCATAGGCCTCAAGAGAGGCTCTATGATGTACTTTGTTCGAGGGGAGGATTGTTGGGAGAGGAGTCCCACGTTGGTTATTTATGGGATTTTAATCATGAGTTTATAAGTAAGGAATACATCTCCATGGATACGAGGGCTTTTGGGGAAACCAAAACAGAGCTATTAGAGTTTATGCTTAGAGCGGACAATATCATTCAATTGTGAAGAGTCATGGTTCCTAACAGGATTACCAGCAAACTCAACGCGTCCAATCTTGTAGGAGTTGAGTTGCCAGAACTGAATGAAGTATAAAACTAAATGAACTTCTGGCTCAAATCACAAGAACAACAATTATTGATTTTCCATCTAACACAATGACGGTATAGTGTATGCTTCTGTTCACCGCTGGGTCACAAAATGAAACGTAATGTATTTTGGAAACCCAACGAGCAGTACCTACTCGGTTGAATATCAGTTCGCTAGTAAATTTTCTTCATGACAATATGAAAATGCTCGACCGGTTAAGAATCAACTAAGAGGATACCGGAAGTAACAAAGCAAATCGAGAAATGAAACATCAGAAATTAAACAGACTGTAGTTTTCAAGTCCTACAAGATGTTCGACGAAATGCCCCAAAGAAAATTAATGGGATTTTACGAGCAAGTTACCTAAGGAGAATTTGAGAGAAGTGGTGAAAGACGGGGAGCCGAGTCGAGGGGGGAGGAGCGGCAAGGCGGAGCGGCGAGTGGGTTGAAAAGCAGTCAGAGAAGGTCTCAGAACGGCGGTGGCCGCTGTGGGGGAGGCCGTGGCTGCCATTTCTTTACAGAGAGTTCGATCAAACAAAGAATCGGCGCCGGAAAGAGAGAGCAATCCTCAATCAAATGGCCGTCGATGACCTGCTGACTGGTTTTTGCATAGATTTTTTGTTGTCGCCATTTTCTATGTTCAGAAATGGCTTGCTTATCCGTGATCACATTTTGGGAAGACGGCCTCTGGTATCGACACGTGGCGAGGTCATTCGTTGTGATTGGTCGGCTCCCTATCTGAAATCCTTAGTTTGAGGACTTAATTTTCACCCCGCCGTTTGCCCCTCCAAATAAATATTTATACTCAAATCAACTATTTATTTAAAATATATATATATTCTATAATAAAATAAAACATTTGAGTTTTTTTTTTAATTTTTTTATTTCACCTCTTTTATTCCACCTGTAACAGAGCTACTCATTGAAGCCCATTCAAAGTTATATTTGGGCCGACTTGATCCAATGACAGGCCCATTTACTTATAACAGGCCTAACCTTCTCGACGAAGCCCACTTCTTTTTTAAATAAAAAACCACAGAACTTTTCTTTTTGTTCTTTATACAATTTTTAATTTATATAAATCAAATATTAGATGATGGACAAAACTTTAAATTAATTACTAAATACGGCAGGTTGCGGGGCAAGTATAGTTGGATAGTTAAGATAACATTAATATTTCCCAAATTTCAAATACACCCCTAAACTTTAACATAATTAATAAAACATTCACATTATCGAGCATGTTCGAAAGTAATGGTAGATGTTCAAAAAAAAGACACACACTCCTAAGTATTGTATAGGTCCAAATCAGTACCGATCTAAACTTACAAGTTTATTTTCCAAGTCTACCATTAGTAGATATTGTTTGATTTGACTCGTTACATATCGCCTGAGCCTCGCAATCTTAAAATGTGTATATTAGGAAGAGGTTTCTACGTCTTTATAAAAAATGTTTTGTTTTTCAATACCAAAATATATATAATTATCTACCTGTCCCAAAACCAAAATACATAATAAAAAGATTTTATAAATATAAAAAAGTTTGATAAAGAAATATCATATTCGATAATGAAACTCTCCTTTAAAAAGTAACCGTAAAATGAAGTACAATATTCGATATAATTAAGTTAAATAAATATATTCATAATAAAGATGTTGCTGCCACGTAAGATCCACTCACTGCTCCCGTGTCGGTTTATGTTACAGCCGTGAAGCACGCGCGACCGTCGATATTATGCCACCCAATCAACGGTCAATTATATTAGGTTTCTTTAACGATGCTTTTCTATTATCTCTTTTCCACGCATGCGTTGCGTCAGAAGCCTACATTGCCACGTAGGGCCGTGCAATGAACCTTTGGTAAGTGACAACTAATATTATTTTAATATTATCCTCTTTTCTTTCCAACTCTTTGCGTGAATTTAATTGGTACACGCAAAAGGTGGGTTTTCCTTTTTAACCGCATTCGTGGATGGTTTTTTATTTTTATTTATAGGATTATTTATTTATTATTTTTATTAAATTCCCTCCTCAATACTAATAAAATAATGGTGAGATATAATATTTAGAGAATATATTATTTATAAAATATATCTTTGACATTATATCTTAATATTCTTTTTTTGAGATTTGATTTATAGTATATTTTATTTTATTCTTAATATTTAATTAATTTATATTTTTTCTTATTTGTAAATATTAGTTGTTAACTTGTATTCTATTTAAACTAATAAATATCACGCACTTTTCATTTCAATTCTATTTTTATTTTTCATTCTTAACAGATAAATCTTCGTTATATTACTGGCATCTTTTATTTTGTTTACTTTACTCCTTGTTCTTCTTTTTAATTTTTTTATGAAAATTAATTTATAAATTCACAAAAATTTAAAAATATAAATGGATTATTATAAGTTTATTTAACATTTTAAGAAACATGCAACAAAACAGCAGAAGTAATTGATAAACAAATATAATTATTAGAAATTAAAAAAAAAAAAAAAAACTAGTCATTGTCAAAAGAATCTTATATTTAAACATATTATTTTGCGTGGAGGACAAATTCTAGATGACCATTCAAACTTGTTGACTGGAAAAAAATAAAATCTAAAGAAAAAAATACATCAAAATTTCGACTTATTATTTATTCAAATAATTGCAATTTTCATAATTATCCTTTAGAGCTATTTATTAATTTTTGGTATTGGCACGTAGTTCTTATATTAAGACTTATGGTTTTAATTTTTTAAATTTTAGTAAAAAAAAAAAAAAAATGTGCTCTCAATTGAAAAATGACACAAAAAAAAGAAAATAAATAAATAAAATAAAGTGTTTCTTATTTAAAATAATGTAAAATTAATCAAAATTTAACATTTTCGACCATAAAATATGTTTCTTACCTTATTTCTTTTTAAGACGAAAGCCGGGCGGGAATTAAACCGAGGGCCCAAGCGCAATAATGGGCGATGGGCAGCGCATCCCACGTGGCAGTAGGAGGGGCTGTTGGTGGGATTTTTTTAATTTTTATTTCATTTTAAAAAATATCGTTACAAAAGTTTGAGCGTGACGGTGAGCTGGCTACGCTACCGTAGGCCCCATGTGGTTGTGCTGGGGACACGTCACTCAGGTCCACGTACAATCGGCCCCTTCTTTCCAGTGGGGACCACCTCCAAGTACGCCTTCACTTCCATTTCCCTGACACCTGCTTGGGTGGCGTAGATTCCCTCCACCGCATCACATTCTCCGTGGCACACTCCTCACCCTCCGATTCCCTCCATCCCCTCTCCCCAATTATTTTGACTTAATTGTTGTGGCCCCATTTCAATTTTCTTTTTTAAATAAAATTGCAAAAATACCCTTCACCATTGTTACAATTCCACTTTCAAAATTTAACATCCATTTGCCCCTTAAACTTTTAATTATTACAATTAAACCCTCAAAAGATTGAAAATTACATGCGAGTATATTATCAACAAAAACCCTAATATATCACAGATTTATGCTCCTAGAGCTAAATTGTGACATAGATGAGGATGTGATTGTAAATATAAAAATCATATAGGTTGATTTTTATATTTCTTTTTAAGCAAAGTGTGGGGCCGGGTGTATACGTGTGGCGACTGTGAGGTGACTTGGAAAAGCGTATAGGATTCGGAGATGGTGAATAGACGGTCAGGATTTTGAGATTTTCCAGATAACTCGACAGAGTGCGCCAGACAGGGAGTGCTGCTATCCGCGTCGGATTGAGTGGCCCTCACCCTACCCTCTTCAAACACAATTACGTTTCTACCCTTCCTCTTTTCTTCAAATCTCTTTTCTACCCCTCCTTCCCTATTTTCCACCTTTGCCCCCATAATTTGTCCTATATTACAAATGATTGTCTACTAATTATTCTTGTTTTCTTGAGGCTATAATTCAGGAAGAGGCGTTTAACCCGAAATTAATTAATTTATTGTTGGCCAATCATTTAATTTCTTTTGGAATAATTGTTTTTTTCTTCTTCTAAATATATATTTTTAAGAAGTATTATCATTAATATAAATTTGGAAGCCCTCTTCCAAGCCTACAAATATAAAAATTAACAGAATTTTGAAAGTTTATTCCAAAAAATAATTAAAATAAATAAATACAAAGCAAAATAGGTGAAATTACATTAGAATCTCGTGAGCAAGGAGGAAACCTTTTAAACATTTTTGAATAAAAAATGGAGGTATTTTCCAGGTGGGAGTTGCTGTACACAGCCAATAAAATCAAACCACGTGTTCAACCTTGAATAAAAAAATAAAAAGTAATGAAAAATCAAAATCCAATCACGTCAAAATATCTAAAACACCCTTTTCTCAAAGCCCTGTTGAGAAGAGTAAACAAAACGATTTGGACCGTTGATGAGTGGCCGATGGTGGACTCCAAGGGTCTTTGTTGGAGCAAACGTGGAGCTGTTATTTTAATGATTATTAATTAATTAATAAATTATCTTTAGCGACCACGTCAGCCGGAATGGCCCGGGCCGGGTCCGTGTCCAGCGAGACGACTAGATCGAATCTTGAATGGACAAGTTTACGGAGGAGGTGATGTCAGAATAAAAAAATAAAAAAAAAATCGAGTACGCGAATCTCGAGGGGCCAGCTCATCAACCACCAAAGCCCACCACCCCCGTATATACGGTATACGTATTCATTTTCTATTTATCGGACACGTGTATGGTGACGTGGATGGTGCCTTGGCGCTCCCTTTCTCATTCTCATTCCCCGCCTCCCCTCTTCTCTCCTCTTCCTTCACCAATTTCATTCTCTATTTCTCTCTCCCTTGTTTTTTCTCTGCGAGAAAACGTTTTCCCCTTCGAAGACCTTCTTCTTCTTTCCCGAGAGATAATGCAGAGGATACAAGCTGCGGTTTTCGCCATCGAAGTTAATTGAAGCTAACTGGTATGGAGTTTTCTCTTCCATTTTTCTTTTTCGTTTTCTGTTTATGATTCTTTTATTATTGTTGTTGTTGTTGTTTAATGGTTTATGAAGCTTGCATAATAGTTATAGAACTAAAGCTATGTTTAAATTTTCATCTTCTTTGAAGACATTTGATGAGGAGAATTGAATTCTTGTGCATTTACTGCACTTTTTTTGGTTTTAACTTTTTTTAAAGCTCTGTTTGCTTGTCTAGAGAACAGAGAACGGTGAGGTTTAATTCTGGATTTTTGACGTCTGAATTTGATTGTTGTAGTATTGTAGTTTGTTGCTTAGAGAAAGCTGAGAACAATGAACTTTGATTGTAAAACTGCAAATAAACTTTGTTTTCTGTTAGTAGGCGTTGGGAATTTAAACTTCGGACTTTTCCTTCTTCATCTCTAATCGAAATCCCGAAGATAGGAGTTTGTTTCAGCTGGATCTTTGTAAGTACTCTTCCCCAGTTCTTCGTTGCTGAATCCCTCTGTATTTTCTTGGTCGGGACATGTGCTCTTTTCATTCGGTTTCTGCATTTTTATGACGATGGAGGAAACAAAATTAGTTGAAAGAAGAGAATTCGGAGTGTAAATTTTATTAAAATCAAACTGCAATGGTTCCAGGTTATTAATTAGTCGAACGAATCAGGGGCCTTCCTAATTGTAAAAATTTGCATAGAGAATTGAGCTTCTTGCCCCCTTTTCTTTCTTCTCTGTCTCGTTGTATCAATTTTCTATGGAGGTGTATTTTAAGTCATTTGAGCATC